TTAGTTCATTTCTGACCTCTGTTACACTATGTCCTGGCTTATGGTGCAGAATATTGCGCTTAGAAAGAATGAATCAAGAAAAACAATAATGCATTGGTTTATTTCAGGAAAAGCAAGCACTATAGATAACTTTCAGCATGAAGACCTTAATTTGGACGTAACAGCTTCCAAATTTCAGCTTAAAACCTCGATTACGTATCACCTTTGAATCTATTTACATGCATAATCTGTACATATATAATTTTCAGTCAGAACTAATTGTAAGCAACTTTTCCATAATAGATATTCAAGTAGCTACACAAACAAATCTCAGTCTATGGCGTTGTGGGAGCCACAGCGCATCCATGAATCCATCTCATTACACGAGCGTTCTTCTCCAAAATGCTCAAATGATTGTCACGAGCTTCTGAAAAATGTACATTATTAGCATTTCATATAATGTGGACACTAATTAAATGCCCAAAATTCCTACCTTCTTCAGGAATATTATCGTTGATTTTCTGCAGATTTGACACGGATGTTAGTGCTTCCGACGGGGTATCTTCATCTTTCCTTTGGAAGCTCGAGTCGAAGAAGCCATCGTCCAAAGATTTAGTCGAACAAGGGTGTGTCCTTGAGATATTGTCTTATATCAAATTATTTTTAGGCATACTCTTATAATACCTTCTATCTTCATCGTCACTATTTGGCCTGCCGCTATCGGTAGTTGGTGATTGAGGTGAGAGTTTTTCTACATATCGTCCCATACCGGGATTGTAGGCAAATGAAGGATGACCGAATGATGGCGATGGGGTTGAGGCACTAAAATTCAAGTGTGAGTCAGTCGACCTGAACATCTCTAAATTTGTGTGTACCTGTCTTCGTCATCAGTGGAATAGGTGAGTCGAACGGCAGCTCGAAGAAAATCACGCTCAGATTCGTCCATTACAGGAAACATCACGCTGGGTTCCTGAAAAAAACGTTATAAAGCTTGTTGAAAAAAGTAATGGCTAATGAGGTTTTGAATGTTATTAG